ACGCGAATATCATGTACCATGCATTGAAGAAGTTACAGTTCTTATCGTTGAGCGGCCGAGGCGCTGATCGAGATGATTTAGTTTAATTTGACCGTTAAATAATTAGCAACCTCAACGGGGCCGGCCACCGCCATTTCCTTCAAAAGCTGGGATTATGTAATATGAGCCTCCCTTGAGCAGAACGTCGCCATCCACGTCAAGCAGACGATAATGGTGGGCAAGAGTTGTTAGCTAGCGTACATGGTGAAGGCAGAGAGGAAGGTGAAGCCATGAAAACGCAACGCACTCTTCATTTTCTTTCAAGATTTTGAGAAGAAGGACCACCTATCTGTATCGTTTCTCGTGTGCTGTGCAGCTTGAAGGCTCTATATCTATATTAAGGCATTTTACGTTGCATCTTGTAATTTTGGTTCTTATATATATATATATATATTATTATCAGTCTTTAATATAAGAATCAGTTGATTAATTTAGAAAAACTATGAAAGTTACTAAATGACTTGAAACTATTTATATTTATCATTTTTCTCCAAACTAATTTATCTCACTTATAAATTAATATATAATCTAATGATCCATATAAGTATTTTAAAAAAATTATATAATGTATGGTATACTTAAAGAATTTAGTAACTTCTTTAATCTTTTCAAATTACTTATTAGGTTTTATACTAAAAACTGGAGGTAGTATGTATATATATTACATGGTACGCACCCTGTGCGATAAAACGACATGTGGTGGTGTCAAAATTTTGAAGAGCATTTTTGTTGTGTATATTTAGACAGCACCTTCTGTGTGTGCATGCATGTCTCTGAATCTTGATGGTGTATTGTTTTGTGATATATACTACCTCCAGTCCTAATTATAAGAGCCAGTAGTTGACTAATTTGAGGAGATTAAGGAAGTAAGTTGAGTTAGTTATTTGTTTTAAATAGGTGTTGTCTTTCCTAAAATATTATTGCTAATCAAGTGTATTGATTAGAATGATCATTGTTAGAAGGGCTATTTTGAAAAAAAATGTATAAATATAAGAGACAAAGTAGATTGGGTCTTATATTTAGGACCAAAATAAAAGTCAAACAGAATCTTATATTAAGGACCGGAGGTAGTATGTGCATGTCCTTTGCACCATGCACGCAACATACTAAATTACTAACAACACGTTAACCCAAAAGAAAAAAAAATTTACTAACAACACCTGCACGTATCAGGAAACAAAAAACATGTGTAGGACCTGAAATGCTGACTAGAATGATATACTCTCTGCTCCTAAATGTATGTATAAGCAAGTTGTGGTTTGCTTTTATTATGTAAAAACTCAATTAAATTTGTTTTTTAAATGTTTATAACTTTTTCAAACTAAACCATTTAAATTGATTTTGGATGACTTAGATTCAGTTTAATGTTTTGCTAGTGAAATAAAAACGTGCAATTTAATTTTCTAACGTTTTTAAATAATTTTTTATTTTAATAGATACAAAAATTTAAAATAAAAATAATCTTATAACTGTCACATTTTTTTTAAAAATATCAATTTATCATTGAGAAAATATAGATTAAAAATTTTAAATCTGAATCAAATTCTAAATGGTTCAGATTCTATTCTAGTGATTTTTTTTTGGATAAACAAAAGTTTAGGTGAGTTGGGTTTCGGGGACTCACCAGGGCCAGGACATACCTCTAGGCTCAGAGAGCGCTTATAGAGGTACTTATAGATCGCCCACCAACAAGGTCCTCATATCGACAGTAGGATTCAAACTCACGACCTTGTGGGTTATGAGCTGACTCCTTACCAACTGGACCAACTCTTGTTGGTAGATTCCATTCTAGTGATGGATACACAGTACTAATCATTTTGATGAGTACTGAATGAGAATATAGAAAATATGGTTGCAGCCCCCGATATATATATATGCTGCAGAAAAATATCGTAGTTGAATTATTGCAAGAACTTCTCAATGTCTAAGATCTAAAATGCGTTCAGTTGGGATTCAGATTATAGAGAAGGCTTTTGAAATAACAATAATAAATATATATATATATATATATATTAGCATTTGGATATCAATTGAATAAAACCGATTATTCTGTACCAAAAAAAAATCGATTATTCGTTAACTAGCTAGAGTAATAAACAAGTACAGCAGTGCAGTCTTATTATAAGTGTCTAGGACGGAAACTGATGAGGAAGCTCCTCTTGTTACAACATGACTGCATCAACTTCAACAAACAACAAAAAGCAGAAGTCATGGTGATCATCAAACAACGCTCATTCCAGCATAGTCGCCTCTACGATTGGCCTTCACGAACCGAACTGCGAGTGGGTCTCCATCCTTCACAACCAAACACCTGTTGTTCTCTTCGTCAATGGAAATCCCCAGATCTTTGCAGCGATCGCTACTACCTTCACAGTAAACAAGCTTGTAGTCATCTCTATATGGCCGGATTCGAAATGGTCCAAAGCCGCGCTGTTCATCCTGGGATGCAATCTTCACTTGTTGTGATTCTTCTTCAACCTTCCACTGCAAGCTAGATTCACGGTGGCAAGCGGATGGATTTCTGGGTCGAAATTCAATGTTAAGGGAAAATCCTGGCCTGAGAATGGCAATTCGAGGTGGGGACCAGATGCTCGCCGGCAAGCCTCTGTCGGTTTCGGAGCGAGCTTGGACGACGGTGAGAGGGCAGGTTTCGCCTTCAGTCTTGGCAAGTTCAAGGCCGCCGCCTTTTCCTCTGAAAGCTGGAAGTATATAGTATGAGCCTCCGTTTCTTAGAATCTCGCCATCCACGTCGAGCAATTCTTGGGCAAGATTACTTGTGGGCAAGGCAAAGAGAAAGAGGCAGAAGAGGAGGGAATGCAAAGGTAACGAAATATTCTTCATCTTATTCGAGTTTTTAGAAAAACTATAGCCTTCTAAGAAGCTGTACTGTGATTCTATATACAAGCTAGGTCATTGTATTTATAGATATATGGTTACGTTGCATCATGTGATGATCTTTTGTTTCTTTCATTAATTCATATCCTTGATGCGATTCCTTTATGCCCACAAAATATGTGGTGCTGTCTGCATAAGAAACATCTGGTTCCATGCATTGATGAAGACAGCTTTGATGTATCTGATACGCGAGTCTTTTGTTTTCGCTTGTTTGTATCTTTCTAACGCATGCATAACGAAGCAACATCATTAATCTTCTCATTGGACTTAAATGATGGAGCCATACTGTTGATCAATGTGCCTTACTCATCGTTGTAATTGCATGTGCGACACTTTGCAGCTTGCATGCATGCTATTATTTCGCACAACACCCACGTATACTAAAACCAAAAAGCAAAAAATATGGGGGGACCCAAAATTCTGATTGGAATGAGATAATTTGATCGTTTTTGAGCATGAAGAAATATCTAGTTCGATTTTGTATGGTTAATTATTGGACTGAATTAATAACTAACACATTTTTAACATTATTTTATAATCCATGCTGCTTGGTACTTACTACTATTAGAAGCCAATCGGCACCACTGTTAATTTCTTTGAACGTGTGATTTGAGGCAATGACCCAATCATTCATAACCAGATCTTGAACATTTTTTCGTTGAACTTATAATCGGATGTTTTAGTGTTCTGTTGTACGTGTTGAGGCTTCAGTAGAATGGATGCTCCTATTGTTTGAAGCTTCGTATCTACAATAACTCTATATATAGATGCTTGTAAAAACTATATATCGTTGTCGATGGGTTCTTTGTTTAATTTGAAGAGCCTCCGCCATGGGACTGTCCTAGTGTTTGGTTTCTTCATTCTTCAAGTTCCATAAAATCTAGTGCTATCATAGGAAATTAAACGCGACAAAAAAAAAATCAATTGATCAGGCCATATATTTGACCAGTTTCACCCAAACCTCTTTAGTTTCAGTAGAGGAATATTTAACAAGTGCAAACAACCGCAGTCTTATTCTTATCACAAAGCATCGAGAGAGAAACAGGTAAAGAAGCTCCTCTTGTAATAAAATGACTGCATAAGGCTTAGCAAACAGTAAAAAGAGGGGGAAGGGAAATGGTCATAACACAATGCTTGTTCGATCAGATCTTGAATACGATCAGCCTTCACGAAGCGAACCGAGAGTGGATGTCCATCTTTCACAACCAAACGCCTGTTATTCTCGGCTTCAATGGAAATGCCCAGATCTATACATTTCTTACTATTACCTTTCGACTCACAGTAAACAAGCCTATACTTATCTCTATATGTCTGAATTTGAAATGCCCCAAATACTCTTTCTTCTTGCTGAGATGCAATCTTCACCACGCTGGATTCTTCTTCAACGTGCCACTGTAAGCTAGATTGTTGGTGGCAGGTGGATGGCTTTTTCATCTGTTGAAATTTAATGGTGATATAAAATCCTGGATTGAGAGTAGCTTGGACGACGGTGACGACGGTGAGAGGGCAGGCGTAAGCCCACCGCCGCCCCTTCCTCTAAGAGATGGAAGTTTAATTTTAGTATAAGCCTCCATTTATTAAATCGTCACCATCCACGTCAAGCAATTCCTCGGCAATGATGACTTGTGGCTGTGGGCAAGGCAAAGAGAAAGAGGAAGATGATAAATAGGATTTAAACAAAGATTGAGCATTTAAATCTTTTTTTATGTTTATAAAAATATAATATTATTTAAATGTTACAAGTCATGTTTTAGATTTGCAACAAGCTAAGTAACCCTCTAATATACAATAATTGGTGTTATTATATATATATATATATATTACTTTCATCTTTAAATTAATTTTTATTTGATTTTATTCAAGTTACTATAAATAATTTTAATTTGCGTGTGAGGTCATGAACGAAATAAATAATTTATTTGTTATAAGAGGATTTAACAAGCACAGAGTGCAGTCTTATTACATAGCCACGACAAGAAAACTGATAAGAAGCAACTCTTATCATTACATGACTGCATAAGAAAGCTAGCTATAGGGAAACGATGATCATCATCACACAGTGCTCTTCATTCGGCCAGATATTCACTTCCACTGCGATCAGCCTTCATGAACTGAACTCTAAGTGGCTCACCATCTTTCACAACCAAGCGCCTATTGTTCTGCTCATCAAGGGAGATTCCAAGATCTCTACACCCACGATTATCTCGAGATTGACGTTCACAGTAAACAAGCTTGTAATCATCTCCATATGGCTGTATTTGAAATGGCCCAAACAACTGCTCTTCTTCTTTTGATGCAATCTTCACAAGTTTTGATTCGCTCTCAACCGTCCACTGTAACCTAGACTGACGGTGGCAAGATGGTGGATTTTGACGGTGAAATTCAATGGTAAGGGGAAATCCTGGCATGAGGGTAAGCATTAGAATCGGGGACGCCAATCGTGCCGGCCAGCCTTTCGAGGTCTCTGACCGAGCTTGGACGACGGTGCGAGGGCAAGGATCGCTCCCGGTTCTGGCAAGCTCAAGGCCGCCACCTTTTCCTCTGATAACAGGCAATATATAGTATAACCCTCCGTTATTTAAAGGCTCGCCGTCCATGTCAAGAAGTTCATGGGCAAGACTAGTTGTGGTGAGGGCAAAGAGAAAGAGGCTGAAGATGAGGGCATGGCTTGCCATTTTGTTGTTAGTTTTAAGACAAAGCTAGCTATATGTTGCAATATGCTTATTGCAGCTTGAAGGCTTTATATTTTTATAGATGCATTTTAGCACTATATCATGTGATGGTCTTTTGTTTCTTGTAATCATAACTATATATATTACGTGGTACCTTATATCTACAAAACAACATGCATGTTTGGGTTCAAAATTGGAATATGTATCCTTTTGTTATATACTATCTCTAGTCCTAAATATAATACTTAGTTGACAGTAATATATATAAGATCTCAATTTATTTTGTCTCACAAATCTATAATGTGTTTTAAAAAAATATCCCTATTAATTGTAAAGTATTTTCACACAAGTATAGTTCCAATGTACATGATTGAATAAGGGTAACTTAAGAAATTCAACACACATTTATTACAAAATAACTAACTTAACTAATTTTCTTAATCTTCATAAATTAGTTATCTATATTTTACATTAAGCACCAAAGGTAGCATATATGTGCGCGCGCATGTCCTCCACTTGGAACCACGCACGCGACTTACCATTTCTAACATAGCCCACGTATTAAAAAAAGCCGAAAGAACTTGTGAGGGACCAGTAATTATGATTAGAATGACGTGTTGGAAGTAAACTGTGGTACATAGTTTGATTTCTGTTTGCTGATATTGAGAGGCAGAAATTTGATGATTTTAGGTGCGGGATTCGTCGGGTCATAGATAATGACTAAATTTTTTTAATCATTTCTAACTTGTTTTCATTACCTTAAGGTCGTTTGCTATGAAACATTAAAAATAAAGTACAGGAATTAGAATTGCAATTGAGAAAAATTATTAAAAAGTATTTAGTATAAGTAATTGATTGTTCTATGAGATTAGAAAAAACCATGGAGGTGAGATTGGGGAATACTACCTCCCCCGTGGTATTCTCTAATCTCACGTACATGGATTTGTCTCATCCTATATAACAATCAATCTCTTATGTTAAATATTTTTTTAATAGATTTTCTCAATCTCAATCTTAATCCTTACCCCTTATTTTCAATATTTCTTACCAAACGGGACTAAATATTCAGTGTGATCCATGCTACTAATCAACGGTCGAACTCATCTGAACCGGTAGTAATCCATTTAAGGATGAGAGTCTGTGGCATGGTATAATTTTCATTTTTTATGGTGGGTTTGTATATTTGTGTCATGGAGATAATTATTGTCAGGGAATTAATGCATATTTCATAGTTTTATTCGAATATACGTATAAGGGCTAATTCTGGACTTTCCGCGACCACAGATCTTAGGATATCCCGTTGTTCATTTATTTTGTTTTGGTTTAATACAATCTAAATGTACATATATAAATATATGTCAACACAAAACACGAGTTTTGGATTTTTTCTAAGCAGCATGGTAAGTAGTGTTGCCACTGTGCAGCATGGTTATTTTGTTTTTCTTTTTTATACAAAGGCCATGAAAAAAACTGTAAAAAAAGCGACCAATTTACTTCTTATTATATGCTTTCAGCCATTTTTTCATATAATTCTGAGATTTATTATAAGTGTTTGCTGGATGTGTCAAATATTACAAAAAAGTTAGAATATATATTTAGTTGGGATACAGATTACTGGAAATGAATAAAAGTAACCAA